ATGATCACGAAGGCAGATACAGAACAAAAATAGTCATTACAAGGCATACATATCTTATCTCTGTATATGTGTTCTGCTTCTGCAGAATAGCTAGAGGAGCAAGAAGGCATCAACGGATGACAGAAGTACGAGGAAGAAGAAAGAAGAAACAGTAGTTATATAAGGAATTAGATAGAAGGTTTAATATAGTGTTGATAGCTATCTAGGCAGCTATCCATGGAAACGAGGGGCACAGGCAATGCAAGCAAGGAAGAGAATGGCAGAAGAAGCACCATCTTCAAGATTTGAACTGCTCCTCTTGAACTTGATAGCTTTTCCTTTGTTGCACTGCATTATCATATGTTTCTGCTGTTGATGTTGCTGCTGCTGTTCTCTGTTCCTCTTCATTCCTTCTTCCACTTTTGACACCATACCTGATCTCTTCTCAAATGTCAAACTTGTTGAAGCAGAATTAGAAATTTGAGGAGTCACACACAAAAAAAACAATTGCATGGGAAACAAGTCCACATGCGCCTCTTCTTTATATAGACTTTATTGGTCCAATAATGCCCTCCATTAATTTATGCCTCCTTAATTTGTATAGAAAATTAATTAGCTAGCATTGTCAGTATCCCAATAGGGTTGGCCCCATCTCCCGATACTCCCAATATTTTTTAACTCAAAAGTATACCATGAGCCCGTAATTTACACAAAATTTGAGGTAAATCGTATTATTCATGACTAGTAAATAGTAATATAAATTCAATAGGTTTTACATTGCATACAGAGTTAGAAGTATTATACATATAATTATATGAATGTAATGAATTCTCTCAAGTTAAGCCATCTTGTTCATAATAACTTGTGAACAATATACCAACTTTTATATGTGGATATATTGATGATATTGATATTGGTAAGAACAAGATGTTAACATGACGTGCCCTTCTAAATTTGACCTGACATGTTACTTGGCATTTGGCATCATGATATCTTCATGAAAAGTTTGAGGAGATGATGAGACTGGTGGACAAATTATCTCATACATACATACACATATACATGATAGTTGTGTTGACAATTGACACGTCCAAATGTGTGAGTTACAGATCACCTACCATATCTTTGTTTGTATGTCCCTTACATATACTGATATGTCCATATCGTATTCTATGATTTGGTTCTATATTCGGGAAATCCATTTATATACCTTGAAGTCTTGAACAACTCCAACTTCTCCTCCAAGAAGAATATTTCTCAAATAAGAACTTCAAGGGAAACACTGAATCGTTTTCATGAACAAAACAAGGATATGATTGTAGAAACAATTCACCATGATTTGATCATAAGTTATGAATATTTCAGAGTGTACCTTGAACAAGTCGCCATCATGAACTGGGCAGTTAATTTCTGAAGTAAACACAGAGGAAATCAACTTAAATGTAGTATCAAATAGCAGTTACCACATTGAAAATATCGTATGTAAGTGATGAGGAGGTCAAACTCTACTTGATGCCGCCATGGACGGTTTGCAGGATTTGGTGTCCATTCTAAGGGCAAAGGAGCTGTGGTTCATCATGTGCACAGCCATGTGAGCATGTGCCTAGCTTTTGTCTTCTTCTACACTGACTCGTTTTCTAAGGGCCCAATGGTTTTCTTCGGTTTCTCATGTTCTTCAGTTCATGAACCTTGCTTCCTCTCTTGAAATTCACTGTTTAAATAATAAAATATTTTACAGTTATATAAATGGAAAACCCGTGTGTATAATACCTTTCCAAGCCTGAACCAGTACGTCTCCTAACTCCGGTTTCTGATACATATCAACTGCACTCCACGTGAACCTCTTTTATTCAATGGCTTTAATTATTGCTGGACGGTGAAAATAGAAAACTATTCATTGATACAGTTGCTGACTTACATTCCTTGTGCTTGAATCGAATTTTTTATCACACTTAACAGTTGATGAACCCCTACGTTTTCTGTTTCCTACAGAATCCATCTTTTCTTGTCTTGTCTGGTATAAGGTTTCTCCATAGTTTTACTCCTTTTTTTCATTTGGGACTATTTTAAAGGGCATTGTTACTTTCACCATCGCACGTGACAGTTGTTCTAGCTGTCATGAACATGGGGATTAAGTCACGATGGGAAGGTGAATTTGCTTTAACAGAGTATGTTTTGTAGGGATCGACAGAGACAAGGCAGTGGAGGAAGAGGACATGAAGCCATAATTCTAGGCATGAAGGGCCATAAGTTATAGAAAATGGGATGCTGGGCATTCTAAGAACAAGACCATTAGATTGGCTTCACACTCCAATGAAGAACTTGCTTGACCCCGTCTCTCTGTATAGTTAATATTTCCATGTCCTTTAATCATCTCAGCCTCTTACGGTCTTACCCCATCCTCTCCCGGTAATAAAATAAAATAAAATACCCTCAAACTAGGATCCTATTTGCATTGTCTGTGATAGGGATATAAATGCATACATAGGAGAATTTTAATAAAAGCCACATCATCACACTTATTTAAATTCAAAATTTTTAAATTTTTAAAATTACATTACAATTTAGGAGTGCTGATTTAATATTAACTTTTTTTAGAGAAGTGACAAAAGTATCCATCATTTAAATTAATATTAGAACTTCCTTACTTCACTAATTTATTATTTTACTTCACTTGTTAATTTACTTGCGAAATGTTATTAATTATTTTACTTAACTTATTTTTATTTTAAGTATTTAAATCATCTTAAGGTAACCTTTTTTTCATATATTATACATTATTCATTTACTTATGCACTATTGTTAATTAACCTATTTCATTTGTTTATTATCAGTCTTTTATTTAACTTCATTTTAAAGAAATGAACAAATGAAGTAGAATAATTAATAATATTTTATAAGTAAATAAATAAGTAAAATAGAATAATTAACAATATACATGTTCCCATCTCAGGTTCACAGGCTCATGCGACCATCATGTATGTGTCTGTATTGTCGCTTTCTCCCTTTTCTTTTTTCTTTCCTCCTCCCCCCACTCACTCTTCAAATTGTTTAGCTTTGATCAGTGCTTATCACTTTGATGCTCATGCGTCTAATTTTCATTTTACATATCTATCCATGTATTAAAAAATAATTATTTGATTCCCCATTTTGTTCCGCAAAAAGTAAAGACGTTGTTTGTATCGATGATTATTGGTCGATTTACTGGTTTTTAAAAAGTATAAGATTTTCATGCTGGTCGTATTAAATGATAGAGGGCCAATAACCTGAGGGTTATCGTCGTGGATTATAGTTCCTGAATCAGCATAAGAAATATATATATATATATATATATATGATGAATTTTGAAAGAGAGTGGATAATCTAGGACAGATAATTTCTTTGTTGAAAATTGAAAGCCAAAATCCCCAAATGACGACAGATTTTGGAGAAAATACATCAATACGAATATGTAAGAGGCAAAATGATAAAAAAAAAAGTCATAATTTTAATGAAGTCCCTAATAATTTTTATGTCGATAAATTATAAATTAAAAGAATTATTTTATCTTTATTAATAAGTTATAATTTCTTATTCAATTGTTGTGATTATTTAAATAAAAGTTGTCATTACCTAAACAAAAAATTGTAATTAGAGTTTGTAGCTTTGAGAATGTATTTTTTAATAATAAAGATTACACTTGATAAGTTATTATTTCTTATATAAAAATTATTATTGAGACTTGTTATTTTTAATAAGGGTAAAATAATTTTTTATTTTAAAATTTATTGATGTAAAAGTTTTTAAAAACTTTAATTGAATTATAACATTTTAAGAAACTAAATTATCATTTATATAATTTGAAGGAATTTTATCATCATTTTTTCTATACAAGACCAAACTTTAATAATCCATGCTATTTATATTTATAATTCAAAACAAGTATAATATACGCATATGGTTCATAAAAAATTGACTTAAAAGTAAATACATAATGGGCCGTTTAATTTATCAATTGAGACTTCATAAAGATAAAGCCAAACTTTTAAAGATTTTGGCGCCTAGGATGTTCTTTTATATATATATATATATATATATATATATATAATAATAATAATAATTTTTTAATACAAAATCACAGTTAAAGTCGTAAAAAAGAAAGTAAATAAAATATGTTTAAAGTTATAAAATTATGGCACCAAGTGATGGATCATTAAAAATTTTAACGTGAAAATTGATATTATGAACTTAACGAGTAAGTCAATCCATCTTTGATTAGCTTCTCTAAATAAAAGTTGAAATCAACCATCCAACTTCTCATGACTACGTTTATGGTAAAAATAAATTAAAAAAATAAAATAGACTAAGGACTCTAGCAAAAACAATAGTTTTTTTTAATGTAATAAAAAAAGTAAGGAATCAAAAACAAGGCATTGTTTGGCCCACCATGCAAACAGCTTAAGAAACATGTGTCCAAAATCGATCCATAGTCGAAGCCCAGTGATGAAGTATTGGTTGGGTTTCTATTAGCTTCAAGTTGGAATAACTCAACTATATGCTTCCTCTGTTTTATTTGTAGCACGTTTTGTAAAAACAATTTTTGATTGAAAATATAAAATTTTTTATAACGATTAAATTATTTTTTAATTTTAGTTTTTATTAATATAAAAATATTAAATATAGTTATATTATTTTTAAAAATTAAAGATAAAAATAAAAATATATTTTATTTGTTTATAATATGAAAATTGTTTATATAATCACACGTTACACGGGTGAAAGTATAAGACAGGAGGGAGAATATTCTCAACCAAACCAGCCGAGTTAAAAGCCTCGAATTTTGCATGTCGGCATTTTCGGCCTCTCCGTCCATTTCCCTCTCCTTCCAAAGTCCAAACGATTACTTCGCTTGCAAATTGCAATGCATCGCCTCACGGCGAAGCTTGAGAGACTAAATGTGAATGCTGTGCTCTAGTTGACGTACCTTGACATTCTCCATTTGCATTTCAATTTTTCTTTATTTCCTTATTTATTTCACTGCAATGGCGATCGCTGCTATCAAATCTACCACGGAGAGAACGCCCGTACCGGCTTCGTCGGCTTCCTCCACCAACGACTCTACCTCTTCCCGTTGCAACTTCTCATCTCACCGTCGTTCTCAGAGTCTCAACCGATTCTCCCGTCGAAATCCCGCTCGGGATACCTGCAACGGCCTTGACGAGTCTCTTGGACCTAGAGGTAGGTTTGTCAACACTGCCAGTGGCTCTGGGTTTCCTAGTGATCTTGCTGTTGCATTCTTCGAATCCTGTGATCGAGGTCGCTCGACTCCGAGACGCGATAAGGTTAGTCCTGCTAGTGCAACACCTGCATCGCAGAGGCGAGGGAGGTCCGCTTCAAGCAGAAGAACGGGGGTAGCTAATGACGGAAATGCCAACGCTTGTGAAAGTTCTGGTGGGAAGAGACTAGTGTCGGACGCTAATCCGAGAAGGAGGAGATCAGTTTCAATGGTGCGGTGCCAGATTAGTGATTCTGAGGTAAGAAACCCTTCCTTTGGTCATGCTGCTGCTTTCCCCCGCAATTGCATGATAATGTCGAAATGCTTGGATAATATTTCATAGCGACTCTAATCCAGCACTGCCAGAAGACAAAATTCCTTGAAAACAATTACTTAATGGTCGTTGACATGTTTTATGTAGTATCTTGAATGTGTAACGTGAATCCAGTTCCCATAAAGATGATGCGTTAAATTTCAACGTGCGCGTGAAAATTTTCCAAACTGGATAGTTTGATTCAATATGCAATGATTTAGTTTCTTGCTTAGAGTATACTATTTCAGCTGCTGAATAGCCCTTTGCCTAATAGGAAGTTTGAAAGTGAATGCCAAATTGCAAATACAAACATGAAATCTTCCTGAAAAAGGTGATCTAGTCACGCATTGTGATGTAACTCTGCCTGCTTGAAACACCAAATTTTTGGCTAAGCCTGTCACTAAACAAACAAAACTAAACTAAAAAAATATATATTGAGCCCTTTGTTGTTCTTCATTACGGAAGTATGATTGATCATATTCTGATTAACTATGCCTGGTGAGTTTCTCTTAAACATATTCTATAAATAAATTTAAGTTTTTTATGCATGCATTACGCAGAGTGATATGGACCATTTTCACAGTGCTAAGGGTCACCTGAATGCCATGAATAGTGATATTGGGTGTAAGCTGCTACATAAGCCAATCGATTCAGGTCAAAAGTCAGTGCTGAGAAAGTCCCTCAACCAGAAGGATTTGAGCTCATGCGATGGCTACTCCGTAAGTATGATTAAAATCAGGGTTTCTTCTTAGATTTTACATTTCTTACTTTATTGCCAAGAATGCTAGCAGCTGTAATTTTCCGTCAACATACTTAATTTGGGATCCGGAATCCGGATGCACCAGTTGAAACACTATCTTTCAGATGATACTAGACAACATTGACATTTCAATGGCATATTAAGTTGTTTTTATAATATATTTTCTTGTTGGATGCAAAATAAATATTTCTGGCTTGTCAGAGTCAGTCTTCAATTCTTATTGACGACGAATGGACAAGAGCTCACTTCAATAAAATTGCAAATGAGAAAATATGAGCAACTTATGCTCAGAAAAGGGTTTATGGATTACTTTTGTGTAAAGAGCGTAGTACTGCTTCAGATGAATCAGTTGATTGCTTCTAATTTTCTTTATTACTTCCTGTCATGGCCAGCAGATCACATAAAGCAATGCGGAGAGAATTAAGTTATGCTGCAGATGAAATCAAAATGGCAAATAAACAGGTCTGTGAAATGTAAAATATTGTTAACTTTCTTGTTCTACGACTTGCAAATTTTGGAATTTGGTGCATCCTCCCTATTCTTTATTGAAAATACAGTTACTTGTCCAACTGTCGTTTTATGTCCATGTAATTCTTTTGTCGAAAAAAAAAAAAGGTAATTCTACTTTAACTACTGCCAATCCCAAGCTCTCAAACAACTTTGGTATTATTCAAGATTAAAGGCGTTCACAAGTTTCGTCTGATTTTAAAAAAAAATTAAACCAAACCGAGCCAATCGGTTCACTATAGTTTGAGACCTATTCGGTATTTTTTCCTAATCAGTTTGGTTTGATTTTTGATTGGTTTGGTTTAGGTCTTGATCAAATTTGAACCTTTTTAATGAGATATTCTTCATAATCATTAATATATATTTATGTTCACTAATAATTTTTAACTATTAATTAATTATTATTTGCAATGAAAAAATCTCTTGAGTACAAAAGAATATGTTTTAACAATTAATTAGCATATTCAACTATTGAAAATCAATGTCTCATCTTTAAAGCACTTGAATATAAAATTAAAAAATTATATTAAATAATTATAAATAACATTTAGCTAATTGTAACTTATTTTTACTAATGATTTACAAATAACTAAACTTGAAAATGTGGAAAAAAAAGCTTTGACAAATTTATAAAAATAAATATAATAAGATTTGATTCAGTTTGGTTCGAGTTTCCAGAAACAAAACATGAACTAAACCTAACCAATTGGTTTTGTTAAAAGAAAAACCAAACTAAACCTCATTTATAATTGGTTTTGATCAATTCATGTGAGTTCAGTTTGATGTGATTAGTTTGGATTAGTTTTGAACACCCTTATTCAGAATGTTGTTTCAAGCAAGAGAAACTGTGAAACTGACCTAGAAAAGATAGCATAAGTCAAAATTTATTTTTCTCGGAGATGTGGGATAAAATTCTGAGTGGTGAACAATGATTATCGACATAAAGATGTTCTTTGGAAGTTCCAGTTTTCGTCAATTGTTTGACAAATAGAATTATGACATTTCTATCTTCTCTTTGAGAAATAGACAGTCAGAGAAGTGTAAACAAGTTTTATTAGCTAAAATAACATCAGAGGAGAAGCGATGTAGAGAACTTTCTGAAGTCATTAAAGAATTGCTTCTTGATTCAAAGAGCATGGCTATACAAAAACCATCAAGAACTAGGAAGGTGCACTAGTTTTTGTGAATTTCAAGATTTAGGATTTTGTGATACACTGAATTCCTTGTAATTTTTCTTGATGAGTGAAGAGCCAATAAATTATGAGGTTGACTTTTTAAACAATGTTTTGTATTTCACAAAGAAGTAGTGACAGAAGGGGGATGTCTAGGTGCTTGAATGAGGAGGCTAAAAGATAAAGATTTTATTTCAAACATTGAAGATGCAGATATTTTCTCATTTGATGGAGAAAAAAGCGACACGAGCTCGTTCGTTGGAGGACTGCGAAGTCGAGAAGCATTTAATGGTCCACCAATGCTCAGAAATATTGAAACAGATGGGGCTGTGTTGTCATGGTTGCAGTGGGAGATGAGTGATAAAGCTTCTCCTATAAGCCGTAATAAGATGAGGGTATCAACAACTCGAACAACTGCTAGTTCCTCCCAGTTTATCATTCAATTATCATTCTTTTGTTGTAGTTATCGAAAAAGATTTCAATATGCCTAATATTATTCTCCTGAATTGTGATGCATGATTCCTTTAGCCTTTTTCTATTTGACTTGAATGATTGAATTTCATGTGATAGGAAATCACTAAAGCACAAAAGCAAGTAACCACTCTATCAGCAGCCGAGGAAGTTGGAGCCCTGGTGGCCTTCCAGCGTACTTCGGGAAGGTAAGTCTTGAATTTGGAGAATCTCATGGAGATCTAAGTCAAACATTCTCAATCGAACCTAAAGGGTTGAAATATGATGTCCACGAGTACCTCAAGTCCAAAAGTGATAAATATTTTTTGATTGAGAGATAGATGCAGCAACAGAAAATTAATTTAGGCAGACTGATGTTGTCTACGAGTAGCTCAAATACAAAAGTGATGAAGATTTTTTGATTGAGGGATGGAGACAACAGTAAAAAATTAATTTAGGTTGTCTGATAAGCACCCAAATTGAATCCCCTTGTATCATGAGACTGAATGGAGCAAGCTATAAAACAGAGAACTCTTGGTTCTCCCCCTCATAACAACTAGAATTTGCAATCACATTATTTGAATTGAAATGTAAGAGCTGAGTTAGAAAACCTTCACATTGTATTTGGAAATCAATAACGTTCAATGGGAAGGTTTTCCAACTGAGTTTTGTTACTTAATTATGATGTGAAGCTTTCTCATCAAACTTTCATGATTTCCTATGACGATGTAAAAAAATTCCAACTAAACTCTGATAATTCCAATTCAGATAATGCAAGTCAAGTTAGCTTGAGCATATTGGTCTATAAAGAACCTTGGTCTTAAAATAACATTTTTAAAGTCATTTTCATTAGTCAAAGTGATGATAATTGAGCTTTAGGTCTGCAACAAATGAGCTTCCCAGTACTGAAGTTATTTCACAACCTGTTAATATTGTTGCCGGATAGTAGATTGAATTTAAACACAACAAAACAGGATGATAGGATACATAACAAGATGGCTCACTCAGGAAACAAACTCACTTTAGACTAAAATTTAGCATTGAAAAAATTATAGTTAAATTTCAAATTGGCAGTCACTCCAATAATCAAGAGAAAAGATGACCATCAAACAATTTCTCCTTCAGCACCATTTGTTGGTTTGACAACACCATGTAATAGTTCATTCTCACCCTTATTTTCATATAATTTCTAGTATAATCTTTGCTACTCTAATGAGTTACTCCCCCCGTAGTTTGAAACTACGTAACTCATTTAAAAGATGTCTTGGACTTGTCTCTGAATCTTGGTAGATGTGCGTCATACAACTCTTAGAATCTCTAGATCTTTCAAAAGTTGACAGCTTTTATTGATATCAACAATCTTCTCCATCTGAAAAGAGAAAACAAAACAGTGAAACTTACAAGAAAGTTGAATCTGTATCCTCACATATATTTTTCAATCAAGATATGTTTTTTAAAGCTTGAAGAGCTGCTTCACTCTCTCACTCCCTTTCCTTTTGCCTCAGCCTGTAGTTTGGCTTTCTCTTATCACACACATTATAAATCAGAGGAAGGTTAAAATGGAAAACTTTAAGAAACTATAACAGATGGGTGTATTGAATAATGCAAGAATTACTCTTGAGGTGCAGAATTACAAACACACCTTTCTAAAACCTTTCAAGTTCTTCTCTCTTTATTCTAGGTTTATAAGGGTCCTGGTTTTTAACATGCAACAGACCAATTCAAAAGATTTTTAAATAGAGAACTTCCAAAAACGTTGCCAATGCTAGCATGTTTGATAACAAAACAAATGATGTTTAATATAGAAGCATGTTCGTTGAATTACAATTCACACAAAACGAAACAAAAAATTGTATATGAACTATAGCATGTTCCCTGAATTATCAGTTCACACATCCCACGTGGCATACATGAATGACCCATTGCAACTGATACAATTGCCATTTTCTCTTTCTTCTTCTTCACCTAGCAGCAAAAATAGACACCTCGTGACATTTTATATCTTTACTGAGATATTCACTAACTACTATTTCAAATCCTAATTGTCCAAATCTGTTTGCAGCGTAAGCATGATTCTTAAACTATTTAGCCACGCGTAGATAAGGATTGTTTGTTAACAATTTTGGAGTTAGGGAATAATATCTAAACGTTTCATAATAGGAATGACTAACAAAAAATAAACCATAGGAATTAAATTAAAAATCATTATGAATTATAAGAACACCATTATCCTGTATCCTACAGAGAATCAAAATACATGACTAAATTCTACTGTAACAAACCTTTTCAAATGTCTTTTCATGGGCTTTAGGTATGGTGCTGACAAAGTCGTTTATTAATAAAGCTACACGGTAGAGCTTTTTTGGGGAGACTTGCCTTTCTGAAGCATTCTCCCCTATAATGTTGCAACATGAAAGATGAGATCATGCCCTAAAATTAACAAAACAAGATTCATTCATGTTTCAAGCTTACCCTCTAGACAGGCTTTCGCCGAAACAGTAACTACCTTAGAATAGGAACTCTGCTCAACTTGGCCAGTCATATTAATTGAAACTGTACGAAAAATATGTAGTGAGCTTAAAGATAATAGTGGATAACTAAGGCTTTGTCAGCCAAACTAATGCTAAGAAACTATAACGCAAGCTAATGCTTACAGAACAACTACTAGAACACCCACCCTTTCTAGTTTCTGAATTACTATGATTCCCTTTGCTTGGATCTAAAGTTAAACTAGAACCCACATTTTCCTACAATATAAATTTGTCACAGAAAATGGTGATCATGATAAAAGAAACTTCAACTAACACCATCCTAATATCATCATGATTACTTTTAAAGCACTAGGAGGTCCTGAAATACTTGAATCTAAACCTGACAAGTTCCAAATGCAATAAATTTTGAAAAATGTAGAAATATTATACATTTCAAGAAAAATCTCAACTATAGTTTCTACCCAACAAAAACTACTGAAGTTACAATTTAAAGGGCTCCTGCATTAATATGACTAGTAGATTGCTAAAAAGATATGTGAAGAAAGATTTGCTAACACTGTTATGCACTTGAAAGGTTTTTAAACAACTTATCCATCCCCAATAAAAAGAGATTATTTCCATTTACCCAAAAAAAGTCATTTTTTCTGCACTTTACAATGGCAAAAGAAGAAAAGCCTTTGCATAAAAATGCCAAAAAGTTATAGCCATTGCCCCATAAGTTGACAGACACGGGTCAAATTATATGTTTAATCTATATCATCAAGAACAACCACAATGACAAGCTAATAAAAAAACAAATACTCTGATACCATTTTATTTCTCTAATTTTTCACAGATATAACCTAAAATTTCTAAGTTTTGCCATGAAAATAATTTTTGGAATTTCATAAATTTCACAAAGATAAAAGAGGTTGTGTAGCTTCTATGATAGAGAGAAAGTTTTTGGGAATTCAGCACAACACAGAAGGGAATGGAGTAAATTAGTCAAATGCTTAACTCAGAAATAGACAACTAACAAGACGAGACATGCAATGCCAATGGGTTGTACCAAGAACCCCAAAAGAAACAAAAAGAACAGGGGATGAAGTAGATTTCAAGAATGCATTCAACTAATAATTGAACAAGGTAAAAATTTATAAACAATTCCTTAAAAAAGCATACACACATTTTAATGTGGTTCTTTGTTTCATCACCTTGGAAATATTAGGAAATTTATGAAATAAAAGTTTGTTAATGATATGAGTTTAGAATGTTTATAAAAACACATAATGAATAGAATGCCTTGTTCCTTTTAGGATACAATACAATACCTCAGAATTCAGCATAACCAATAGGGACTCAAAGCAGATGTGGTAATAGATGAGAGAGAGAAAACATTGTTGTTATAACAGAGCAAACAAAATGATTCTTAAGAATGTTATTAAATAAATTTCCTTCATATATTTTGCACTACAATGTGAATTACAAGCATTAATCAAAAGAGTTATAAGACTATAGATAAGTAAAAATATATCACGATATATTTACAACATTTGGATTGAAAAATAGAAAAGTAGAGAAAATTTAGTATTTACATGCTGCCAAACATCAAAAAATTTAAAGCACGTCTTGAGACTAGAAAGCACATCAAAAATATGAAGTTGAATATACTATTGGATGAAGAACTAGAGTCACTACTCGAGCTGCTTGAACTATCACTATTACTACCTCTTCTATTTCCTACTTTCTCAATAGCCACAGCAAGATAACTCAAAAAAGAAGCATCAGTCCAACCAATAATGTCCACATGCTCCTCAACTGAGTTACTGTCTATATAAATAAAAAATAAGAGATCTTAGTTCTTGTGATCAGTAAGATGTTTACTGGTAGGGTTCAAGAACAAGGATAGAATATACCTATACATAGTTGTAATAATTCATTTGGAAGCTGCATGAAATCAACCAAAGCCGAATAGTAATAAGTAATTATCATTCATGTTCCATCTATGGATTCTAAGTATACATATAAACATCAGGCCAAGAAAAAAGATGTGCGTATGACAAAATATAGCACTTGAAGATGAATAAAGAGATGAAGAAACCTCCAGTTCACAAGGCTCAGCTTTTTCCTGGACCTTCTGCTTCTCCAACATATAGGCATCCACAAGCTTCTGTATTGGAATAAAATCTCCTCATTAAGAGCATCAATGTCAATTTCAGTTTCATCATCATTTATTTCATTTGCATTGTTGCTATGTTCTTTTAAGAATTTGACAATGGAAGTAGGAAACTCTTTAAGCAGTGCTTCAACCTCCAAGCTCAATTTATGCTTCTTATCATAAGTCATGATTCTTATGACAGGCTTGGGCTTGAAATCAGTGTCATTGGATTTACTTTTCTTCTTTTTTAAGGGAGGAAATTAGTCTAAATTTTCAGTTTCCATATGAGTAATGGGTCTAGAAGACTTGGGTGCCACACTGTTAGCCATAGGAATCTTCTTCTCAAGAGGTTTCCATCTTATTTCAAAATGATTGCTAAGTATTCTTGCCATGGTATGTACTTTATTGCCAGGAGAGTTGTAAATCATTGCATTTGAGAAAGTTAGCCGCACATCAGTAACAAAATCTATGGGACTAGAATATTGGCTAGAAGTTATTTGACTCTTCACAGTAGCTAAATCCATCGGATGCTTGATGACAGTAAAATAATCAGGAATTTCTAACTCTACAATGTCAACTGGTATGTTAAAAACCCAACCATATTGATGTAACATCAAACAATTAAGTAAATTCTGAAACTGCTTCATCGACATACCATTTGAAGATGTCAATTGTGCAGCATGTTTCATATTTTCCATGCTTCCTTTTCTTTTAGGATCATTATGTCCTAATGGGGCCCTTTTCTCAACATATGGAGATGATACTTTAAGTGATCGTTGCTGACTAGCCAATCTAAGCCTCCTCTGCCCATTGCTGTAACTCCTTGTGTCACTAGATAAAGACAATACAAGGATATTTGAATTTAAGGAGGCAACTTTCTTCTAAAATTTCTTAACTTGTTCAAGTTCCAATTTCAACCTCAAATCCAAATTCTTCCTTTCAATACGTGACATTTTTTATAATGATAAAACTTCTAATGGGCCAACGAAATTATCATAACCATTAGCATTCAGGATAAGGCTCTTCAAGGTGCTAGCATTTTTTGACACCATAAGCTTTGAATAAATTCTTTCTTTGCTATTACTAGCCCCTTCCAAGTCACCCATAGTTTCCACGCCATGTCAAAAGTTGGGAACAAGACCATTAGCATGACTTTTGGAGTATTTCTTGGATTTCCCCATCAACTGTATAAGAGAGAGGACTTTTTCAATTCCTTTTTCCAACAAATTATATAGGCACACTTGATGCAATAAGATTAAATTTCAATAACTGGATATATCAACTCTAACAATTGAGTTCCAGGCTTCAATTTTATAAGAATGCTTTGTCAAAAGGGGTAAGCTAAAAATGATTTTTTTTTAACCTTAAAGAAGGGTATTTGTGGAAAATAATATAATTTCATAACATTGTTTTTATTAACTAACAAAAAGTACATGATTGTGACATGTAAAAAAGGAATAGAGGGAGCAAAAAATAAGAAGAAACTGCATGATGGGGGTAATTCTCTCGCCATCCTCTTGCCTTATTTCCTCGAACATTGCAAGTTGTTCCTTAAACAATGGAATAGGGTAATTATGCCAGTTGTTTGTTTCTAACATTCGTTTGCTAATCCCAAAATGTTAAAACTTCATGAGTAGCAATCTTATGTGCTTTTTAGGCATGATACCAATCTCAAATTTATTTTCATGACAATAATTTTGAACAGCAAACTAGGCTAAATAGCTTAAATATTCCAATACAAGAAATGTAAGACTCCCTCAACCGACATTTATTACAGTTCAAAAGAATGCCACCTCAATATTTCCTATCAACTAGAGAAGCCTAAACAATAACGTCAAGAGATACAAGGCTGTAGTATCTAACAAAAAAAGAGCTCGAGAATGTGAACAATGAAAATGAAATTCAAAAGATATATGATTGAAGTTAATCTGATCAGAAATTATAATCTCAAACGAGGAGGAACATCAACGCCAAGAAAAAGTGAAAATTGGTACAATTATAAAGCGCAAAGCCTTTAGCAAGTTCCTAATTCAAAACCTAAATCTCTTGCAGACTCCAGTGCCTTGGTTGCAAACCCTGGAAAACTCTTCTTTGCTTACCTTAACTCTTCAAACTCGTGCTACCATGCCTTAAAAAATAGAGAAAGAAGCTTACAAGAAACTGAGAAAACTAAGTTGCATAGGTCACTCCTCATATTATAAAGGCCCGTTGCCTCGTAGGGCGCCGCCGTTAAAGAAATCTTAGCTGTTCTTTTTTACCACCATTTATCTTAGGACCTTAATTTAGATTTAATTTTGCACATCACCAGATCAACCAGAAAGCCACGCTAGCAAATCACCGTTATTCATTCTATGTGGAAGATATTCACATAAATGATACTCGGCCTGTATTTCAATATTTTTATTTTTAAAAATATAATATATGATATGTTTTTAGTACATGCATATATATCTATAAAAAAATAGAAAACATTAAAACTAGAATTTTAATTTAGAAAATATTGAAAATAGCATGCATATATAGTACTATAAAATAATATCAAGAAAAACATAATCATTATTTGTATTTTTAATCTATCTATATCTAATTGCCAATCGCCTAATTTCTGCTAATAGTTCCCCACCTAATGTTTAAGGGCTAGTTTGTTTAACAGTAAAAAAATAAGTTATTTTTAGGTAGCTTAAAGATTTTATTAAAAAATAAAAATTATTTTATATTTGGTTATAATAATAAAAAAGTAATTATTAGTTAGTTATTTTTAAATTTTATAATATCTTCTTTGATTTTTGTTTTATAAAAATAATTTATTATTTTATCATTTTAAAAGTTTACGATATTTTTGAATATTCCACCTTTTTAAAATATTCTAACTTATCTGTTGTATTATATTATTTTTAAAAGCTACTCAAAATAACTTCTTAAAATAACTAGAAATATGCTTTTTTTGAATTTTGATTATTTTTAAAATTTTAAACAAATATCATAAAAACTCATAAAATTAATTTTAAAAAATTATTTTTTTTATAAAATAAGCTAAAAAAAATGAGGTCTAAATGCCAAAAGATTATATCCCTATGTTTTTAAAATTAAAAAATATAATTTTTATTTTTTATTATATCTAAACTTATTTTTTAAGAAAAAATTAATCATTGATTTTAAAATCAAATCACAAAAATATATTAAGAAAAAAGATTAATATCTCAATATTTAACAAAATTTAATTTCTTACAAATAGCTTTGAAGTATTGACTTTAAAGTATCAAATTATAATTTAAAAATATTGGATATGTATCAAAAATAAATTTTCAATACTCTACAAATACATATTAAAAAAGTATTGGTAAATATCAATATCAAACACAATATTGATACGAATGTGTGAGACAATTTGAAATATCAATACTTTATTAATCCATACTCTTTTCATTAAAAAATGTAAGGCATTTTAATCAAATTTCACATCTTAATAAAATAAGTAATTGTCTTTAAATCAACATTATCTTTTTACATTTATCCCTATTTAATAGAATATTTTACTTTAAAGTAAAAATAAAGAAATTTATTTTTTTCAGGCACTTTTTCAAAAAAAATACAATAATTATACCTTAAAACACTAAAAATTTCTTATATTTGTTAACAAAAAGAGTATAATTTTAGTACTTAAATAAATTATATGAATTTTTAAGTATAATAAATTGGGGAAAAATCAAATTGAAGGGATGATAATATTCTATCTGTTTAAAAAAATATATATTTAAATATATAAAAAATTATTGAATTGGTGTATTTTAAATGTGTAGATTTACACATTTAAGAAAAATATATAATATTTATTATTTTTATTGAACTGAAAAATCACCCCTTTTTTATACACAAAAAAATAAACTATTTTTAAATGGAAAAATATAATCAGGGACCAAAAAATTGCTAGCCATTAAATTAGCAATGGCTCTTAATCATATAATGCAAAGCTTTATACATTATAGACTTTGTTTTCACATTTCAAGCCAAATACTTATTAGAGCTCAATTTTTATTTATCATTTTATAAATGACTACTTGTTAAATTACTAGTGAAATTTATTAAAAATTTTAACATGCACTGATTTTTATACATCATTTTTTGTTTTTATTATTAAAAGTTTATATGTCAAAACCTCACATGAATGTGTTATTTTACTAAAATTCAATTGTCAAATTATTAAATAAAATTTTTAAAATTAAAGATAGGACTTGTTATTTGAAAATTAATTACTTATTAAATTACTAACAAGAACTTGTTAAAAGAATTTATATGCATTGATTTTTATAAATATTTTTTTTATTGTTCAAAATCTTACTTGAGCTTGTTATCTTTTTAAAATTCACATATTGAATTATTAAAAAAATTTAAAATTAGTAATAAGACTTGTTTTTTTATAATTGGTTATTTGTTAAATTACTAAATAAAATTTATTAGAAAAATTTAATTCCATCATTTTTTATAAATTCTTGTTGAAATAATTTGATGATTAAATTTTAATAAAATAACAAGTTAATATGTGTTTTTGACAAGTAAACTTTTAATAATAAAAATAACTAAATATTTATAAAATCTCTTAAAAGTTAATTTTTTAAAACAAGTCTTCATTAGTAATTTAATAAGTAACAATCCATGAAATAATAAGTCTTGTTATTGATTTTAAATTTTTTTAATTAGTTTAAATAGTATATTTTAGTAAAATAACAAATTTACATGAGGTTTTGATAAATACTTTCTCCATTCAAAAATATAATATATTTTTAACTGAATTTTAACTTTCAATAAAGTAATTAGTTGTCTTAAAATGAACATATAATTTATAAAGGTACTTTTAAAAAAAATACATTAACTAGATATTGAAATATTAAAATATTTTATATTTTTTAACATGCAACTCTTTAAATAATCTTTTACATTTTTGAACGAAAAAGTAAATTTTTTTTGTAATAAAAATAAGTAGACATTAATAAAAAGTGATGGAAATTAAAATTATTTAACAAATCCCCATTAGTCATGTAACAAGCAAATATTTGTGAAATAACAAATCTTATTATTAACTTTAAAAATCTTCCTTAATAATTGATTTAACTAGTAAATTTTTGTAAAATAATAAGCCCACTCAAGCTTTTGACACACAAATTTTTGATAACGAAAACAAATAAACATTTATAAAAATAAGTACATACTAAATTTTTTTAACAAGTAACTTAAAGCGCTTAGACAATTATTTAGCTTGAAATGTGAAAACAAAATTTCTAATACTCTCTCCGTTTAAAAATGTAAGGCATTTTTAACTGAATCTCATCCCTCAATAAAGTGATCGCCTACTTTCAAACTAACTCTATTTTTTTATATTTACCTCTATTAAACACCCTATAATAAATATAAAGTCACTATCAATAAGAGTACTTTTGAAAAAAAAAAGTAAAAATTATACCTCAAAAGATTAAAAATGTCTTACATTTTTAAATATCTAACTTTTTAAAAAATATTTTACATTTTTGAATGGTGGGAGTATACTTCATTTTTTAAAAAATAGAAGGCATTTTTAATCAAATCGCAGCCCTAATAAAATAGTTATTTGTCTTCAAATCAACAACATTTTTTCATATTTACTCCTATTTAATAAAATATTTTATTTTAAAATAAATATAAAATAATTTATTTATTATAGTCATTAAAAAAATGTAATTATTATAGTTTAAGATAAGAAGCCTTCAAAATTCTCGCCCACAAAGGCGCTGCTCCAGGACGAACACAACCGTTCTCTTACTCTTATTTACATGCATCGCTTGATTTTCTCAATCAATCATCTATAAGATAAGAATGATCCCATCTATAAAATCAGAGCCTGAGACCAACAAAATTTAGGGCCTATTTAATTTATGTTTTTAAATTTTATTTTTAAAAGTTGTTTTTCAAAAAAAAAATAAATTGTCTTTCAAGACAAAAATGAGAACAAAGATCATTTGGTTTTATTAATTTAAAAATCATTTTTATAATTAAAAATTGGCCAACAGTGATGGTCGTTAGTAGTTAACGGTAACGACTCATGATAATAATTGGTTAAAGTGACCATAGTTTTTAATAATTAATTATGATATATTTTGAATAAAATCAGATAAAAACAGTTTTAAGATCTTTCTATTTTTTAAAAAAGAGTAATGAGAATTAGTTTTAAAAACAGTTAAATTTAAAAACACTTATCCAAACAAGGTTTTAAGTTTCTTTTTATTTTTTACAGACATCAAACATGCCATGAATTACTTCAAACTTCACTCTAAAAATTCTCAATTTGGATATATAATTTTCTATGAGCACGCAAGTTGAACAATTCATAATAGGTTGACACTGTAATGTGAGTTTATGCTTTTCATCGTGAAGTTTCAAACGAGGTCCGTTACTTAATTCATGGCAAGTGAAGCAGCTTTTTTACTTTCCTTATGAGCAAAGCCCATGGCTTGTTTTCGGGGGTTGATCAGAGAAAGATAAGTACTGATTAAGGGACATGAACTATTGACATGAATGGCTTTGAGTACAGTATTTGTAATTGGTCTTAAATTCCAATAATTCACATTGAAAGAACAATTTGCAATACTTATGATAAAATTCCTTAATTATAACATGAAAAACTTTTTATATATAAAAGGCTCAGGGATTCTAAGTTCTAGCCTGCAGATCTAGTACAAGCTATTGGCCAAAAAAGAACTACTGACTTTCTTACCCCCAAAAAAAAAAAAAACAACTACTGACGAAAATGAACGTTATAGAAAGTGAAGAGTGCGATTCATCTGAAGTCTGAACCTACTCATCATATGCTGTTGTTAATATTTTTCTCTACAAGGTACCATGCCCTCCACCTGTTTAAGCCTAAAACATCCACATTTAAATAAAAGCTCAAAATAGAGAAAAATGAAGAGTTAGACTTGATAAGACATCCAATAAAGTAAAGCTTAGTCTATTTAGAATAAACATTTTCAATTAAGTAAGTGCTGAGTCATAGAGAGAACATAACTCTTAAGATTTGAAGTGACTAAATTAGGAATACTGTTACTTGGATGTAGGATTGTTACTTCAACTTGCCCTAAAGTTTGTGAGACTAGGCTCAAAAAGAATGGGTATTTCAACACGAAGCATCCAGGTTTTTAGTTTTGTGGACACAACGATTTCGGATAAATAATGTGAATAGAAATCAAAAAAAAAATTCAATAACAAATAACTCAAACACTTTGTTACTACTTAAAAGTTAGCTCTTCTTTCCAATTTCTTATAATTTTGTAACTCTGTTGCTTTACATCATTAATCAAGCTAATTTGTTCTTACCTGTTTCATTTTTGCATCTAAACAAAATATGATAAGATAGCCTAAAGATCCTGTTTATATTGAAACTCTATGTCTTTGGCACATTTAACATTTTGTTGTCATGTCATGAACACCACTATTCCCGTTCGTAGTTCTTCATCCATGATTTTTAACCTGATTCTTAATATAAAATCCTTTGCAAAAATTTAATGTAATCTTTATTGTTCACTTTCAAAAAAATCCTCTTTCTTCATCATTCACGTCATCATTTTTTTCTCTAACAATGTTGAACTAATTATCTCTGTTAATCTATGTAAAATAGATAACAAACACTTATAATAACAGGAACAAGTAGCTATATTATCGCAACACGATCTGCTGCAAATGTATATTTTTGCCCGCGGTTAAAAGAAGTTTTTATTTTCTAGTGAGAATGTAAACAAACAGAAAGAGCTTAATTTTTGCTCTCCACACGCATATAATCCCTTGCCGTTTGGAGAAAAAAATAAATGGACAAAAAATACCATAACCAGAGAATACCTAGAATTGGAGGAAAACATCAACTTCACCACTTCAGGAACATTCCCTCAACTTCGAAGGACCCTCGTCCATGGATTTTGTTGAAACTTGTCTTAACAGTGCATAAATTAAAAATCAGGATATTATACTGTTCGCAAACACTATATCTATAGATAACATTAGATTCTCCGCACCATACAGACTCGTGATATAATTGGTTAGCGTAGACCCAAGAAAACGGCAAATATGGTTCATCATCAACATATTTGTAGGCAAGAAAAAAAAAAACTGCATATGCGTATATAATACTCATACACAATATGAAAACTCCAATGAACGAGTTACAAATAACATAACTTCCCTTTCTTTCAAATTCCAGATTGATACTGCACCGGCTTGAAATGCACATGTCTACAAAGGACCAAGCTGTAATGCGACGTGGCAGCTTATATCTGATGTTGTCACGGAAGCCAACATGCATATGGAGAAATCTGATACCCACAATAAAGCAAAAGCAATAATTCGATGCAAAGCTTTGCTCAGATGAGGCGACCGGTCTGCTCTTAAAGATAAAAGGATATAAAATTTTCACACCACAATTAAACATAGAAAGCCATTGTTATTTTGCTATGCCCACTAATAAATTTTATGATATTTTAACTGTGTTTTAGGCCTCGTTGGTATTTTGGGAATACTTCAGGCATATTTACGTTCAAGACTCACATTCAGGATCATTTTCAAGACTCTAGAATGAGTCAATTCAATCCCTTAACATCCATTGGTAAATATATATAAACGTAATCCTTCTTAAAATAAACTCAGATTTTGTTTTTGGTTTTGAACTTTTAAAGCCTTAACAAACCCAGCTCGCTCCCCTTCCCGTGATTCTTCACATATTCAAGTCCTCTCTCACCTACCTGTTCCCACCCCCATGTTCTTCTCTATCCCCTCCCTACCCCACATTATACGGGGCTTTTCAGTTTTTGTACCTGCCTATTCCCTACTTCCACATTTACTGACATTTAAAAAAACCAGCAGACTTAGCACTGATCTCATAAATAGACCGTCCTTTATCACCACAGAGGCTCCAAAACACATGATTAATTCAATCCCTTACCTTTACCATTTCCCGTTGATAACCATAGATCGAAAAAAGTAGATGAGCTTGTGGAGGGCTTCATTCATTATCCATATATATATATATATATATAGAAACTATAGCACTACTTTATTTCATAGGTTAAACAGCTATAGCCAATAATAAACCCGCCTTCGGAGCATATATTACTGTAAGGAACAACACAAAAATATTTACTAATACTTGGGATTACACAAAATTACATGCTTCTGGCACGCAACTCAGAAAGTTCAAACTCACGTCAAATAATGCAGAAAACCTCTCATCAGCAACCCAATACTTGCATCTACGGGGAAGCACACTCCGAAGCTCGCAGATATATTTACAATTCTAGAAAGAGTTAAGGTATAAGGTTAAATTTTTTAAAAAACAAAACACCTCTCAAGGGAAGGATTTCGCAGATCAAACGATTTTGGACGTTGGAGTTAGGGCCCGTTATATATTTAACTTTATGCGCGGGTCTTCTCTTCTTATCATTACCGAACCAGGCTCAAGCTAAGAGCAGCTTTGACGTCTAATCTCCATGCAAATCCACCATTGTCCATCCTCCATACATCGCATGGCACTGTCAATGAACTCTTCTTCTTCCCACACGTGTACTCCATCCTCACCCTGCACGTGAACGACGGGTACCCTGCCACCGCTCTTCTCACCGCCATCCCCACCTTCTCCCTGATCGCCAACCACACCCCTTGCTTGCTGCCGCCGCTCTGCCCCACCATGCTCCTGTACGCGCCGTTCGTCCACGTCACCCTCCCATAACCGTCCGATATAAACGCCGGACACGTGTCCCTGCTCAGCTTCTCTGTTCGCTCCTCGTCCGTACTTCCAAGCCCGTCCCCTTCTACCCACGTCTCCGTCACGCATTCAACCGTCACGCATGAACCCGCAGCCCTAGTCGGCGATTGATCCGGATACCAGAAGGGCACCGGAGGATCTGCTTTACCAGGGGCGATATTCTCGAAATTCAACCACATCGGAACATTTCCGTCGCTCAGCAAATCCTTCGGAGCAGGTACTGTTGGATCTGTTGCCCGAGGATTCTTAGGATCGGGAGTTTCTGGAAGCAAGGGAAGAGTAACAACCGGGTCGTTCTGGTCCGGCGATAATTTTCTCTTCCTATTGCACCTTTTGCTGTTGTTGGCGCTGCCATCTCTAACGTACTTTCTCTTCGGCCTACCTCCTTTGGGGAAGGCGTCACTGCTCTCCGACGAAGAACTGCCGGAGTTGGAACTCCCGGCGGTTGGTTTCGGGGCGATCGGGCGAAACCTGAGCATTATCCTCTGGACCTTGGACATATCATACGCACCGGTGGCGTATCTCGCGATACAACACCCTCCCCTCGCATCCATCGTCCCAGTCCAAGTGTGACGCGAAGAAAGCAATAAGAGAAGAGTTCGAAATCCGAATGTGAGAAAAAAAGGGTAAAGAGGAGAGAAGAAAAATGGAGCAGCGAAGGCAGGGGAGGGGAGGGAAATAGGGGATTACTTTTATAGGGGGGTGAAAAGGACACGTACGAGAGAAGACAGGTGTGAGAAGAAGAGCCGGAACAACGCAGACAGGAGATTGGAGCGAGGTGGGTAACGTGGCGAGAGGAGGGGAGGGAGGGCCCACGTGGGAGAGGGTGATGGATGTGATTGGGCCCATGGAGGTAGCCAATGAAAGACCGAGGAGTGTCGAAGGGAAGGCGCCAAAATAGAGGCACGTAGACTCCGAGCTACGTGCAATGGTGTAGGGGTCAGGGTTGAGATCTTCAACGATATCGGGGGAAAGTGGGGTAGGAGATGGTTAACAGGTGTGCCAATAGGAAGTGGGTATGTCATTTTGGGGTTTCCATATTTAGGTGGCGCGATATGCGCCAAGTGGACGGTCCGATAACGACTCTCTCATCGGTTTTTATTCATTTCTTTATTTTATTTTGATTGCGTCACACTGGATTTTGTTGGTCGTCTCAATCTTCAGCCTGGTGCTCCCCCATCAACGACGCCATTTTTTTCCCCCGTTTTGCCACTTCGTCCAATTCTAAAAACCTGCCGTGATAATTAATAATTTATTGCTCCTAAAGTGTCAATTAAATACTTAGTAGCTGGCTTTGAATCAATGATGAGTTCCTCATTAAGAATACATGAAGCTTACTCCCTCCGTCTTTATATATAAAAAAAAAATTATATCACATAATTTAAAAAAATTAATTAATTATAATAATTATATTTAAAAATAAAAAAATTAAATTAAAATGTTCTATGTTAATCAACATAAACATGTATTAATTATTTATTGTTAATATATTTATAGGGAGCAATTTTAAAAATGTGTAATAAATATTTATTGAAATATGTAATTTTATTTATATAAAAAAATAAAAAGTGATAATTTTTTTATAAATAAAAATAGGGTAATATCTCTCAGTAACTAGATTTATACACGCGCGCCACATGTATATGTAAAAGCTCGGTACACTCAATCGTGCGTTTTTTTTTTTTTTTTTTATTTCATGAGATAGCATCAAAAATCTGGTATTTGTTAGTTAGTGTATAGAGTATACCAATGGACAAAATCCTTCAGTAATAGATAAGAAATTGAACGTTTTCTTTCTGACAGTATTTGATGATATATGTACTGTACAAGACGCATGCATGAAGCCAATGACCCTTTAGTTAAGCAGCATAAGGTCTCCCTTGATTCAAGGAGTTCTAAGTTCGATTCCCATTTGATCCAGAAAGATGGATTAAAAAAAATCTGGCATCTCTTATAGACAAATACAAGAGAACATATATCTAGTATATATAAAAATGCTTATATTATAAAAAAAATTTCATTTGTCATTAATTCATTATATATGATGCTTTAAACAAAAACATTAGGATAGATAATAACATAGTTTTATGAAAATTCAACCAATCTATGTATTAATAAATTAAACGCTTGATAAAATTAAATCATTACGAATTGATATCGTGTTCAAATTGAATAAAAAATATATTAAATAGATAGTCATACAAATAGGCAATTTTTATTACGATTATTTCAATACAACTTAATTAAGAAAGACCGAGATGTTCATGAATACTATAAATATATAGTATTATAAAAAGTTAATATGAACAAATAACTAAATATAATTTATATTGTTTTTATTAAAATATAACAAACAAAAACATGTATTTTCTTTTGTCTTATTTCTAAGTCATTTCTACCAACTTCATCAATATCAATATAATAAAAATAAAAAAAATAAAATTTAGTATAATTACAAATATAACCCTCAAGAAGTTAAAAAAAATATAATATTATTTTTCTATTTTTTCCTCTTACTTTTTAATAGTAGTTTAGACATTTTATTTAAAACAAAACATCATTATCAATTCAATAATTTATAAAGTGAATTATTTTATCCTTCTAAAAAATAACCAATAAAGTAAATGGGAGGAAGTGTCATGTAAGTATGTATATTGTATTACACATATGTAATACTAGTGAGTGTAGTTATAGTAATTTTTGGGGGGTGGGGGTTCCTTGAACAGTGGACGCTGTATTTATGAGGCTTGAGTCGAGGACCAATCCAATATTTGTGTGCCATATTGTACAAGGCGTATGAGTGACCCTTTTAATTTCTTGTGGGAAAAGGTTGGATACGATGAGAAAAAAATAAGGCATGCAAGGAGAAGCTCCATCTAAATATAACGCGTATGATTTTTCACTAGACTTTGATTTGATATAATGTACACATGCTATATGTTTATAATTTAGAAATAGCTTGATCTGTTTTTATAAATTTTATAACATTGTGCATGCGATACAGGTAAAGGAAGCTCCTCTTGGCCCTTGGTTCCAGTGCTATTACCAACAAGACACATTTAGTTCTCAGAAATAATAATAAAAAGGAGTGGGATAGTAGGAGATAGAAATGAACGGATATTATATATCCATCAATAATTTGTTTGGTAGGAGAGAGATAATTAAGTGAAATGCAAAACGACTAGAATGTACACATCCAAAATCTGGTTTCCCGCATCTTCCTACGGTATCCTCTCCCTTTGTGATTTCCAATCTCTCCCCTCCCCTGATGATTGTTGATCAAGCTGGGTTTTAGAAACGACTTGAATGAGCAGCAACAAATTAAACTCAAGTAGATTTCAGCAAGAAAAATCCAATTATATGAACTAGTTATGTGGGTTTGGACTCAAAATTTGAAGGTAGGAGTAGAGATGACAAGGGTTGACAAAGGCGAAGATTGCTAGAACATGTCGTGAGGTTGACGAGGGAGTTGACGGAGGTTAACCAACGTGATAGTAATGGTCGGGAGTTAGGATGGATCCCAGCTTAAGAGCAACTTTGATTCCCATGTCTTAAGGAATGACTTCCCATGAGAAACATATAATTTAAGAAAAAATAAAAAGCAAAACAGACTAGACGCATTCAACACGCGAAACCAATCCTAATTACGATTCATCTATAGGAAAGTGAACCAAACAAACCCTAATCTCTCGTGTAACATATGATGTCCTCTCACCTCACTTGTCCATTCCTCCTCTTCCCATGCCTCCGAGCGATTGCCGTCCATTTGTAGCAAGTAATATCATTGATGTCTGGTTTACCTGCATTTTGAGAGAATAATAAATATGTAACAATTTATAAATATTATGTTTTAGATTGATTGGTATTGATAATTTTATTAAGTGATGAACAAAATTCGTTGAGTTCGAAATTGCACTAACATTTAAATAATCCAAGACTAGTAGTTTATATTTACGTTGACCTGTTAACAGTAAAGCAGTAAATTAAAAAACTTAAAATTGTTCTCGTCAATTTTCTAAAACAAAGATAGAATTTTTTGTCGCTGGCAAAGCTATAGTGTAATTAGAGGAGTCTAAATGTAAATGTTATTATTTATGCACATGCATGACAAATAAGAACTCAATAAATAAAAATATACTCCGAGCGGCTGATAAAGCATGGATAATATGCGAAGGCGCAAGCCAACTCGGGGCTTCTAGAATGATGCCCGTCGCAGCCTGGCGTGGGGAATCGTACACAAACTAAGCAAGTGAAGCTTGACAATGATGAATCCACATATCAATCATTCCGGCTTGACCCACAACAAGTGTAGTAATCATAGCCATTGGTTCTGATGCTGCGATTTGATTAGCTCCCCCTTCATACGGGAGCGTTTCTATTTGGACTAGGAAGACAGTGACCGTAGTGGATACTAGATAACACACATGAAGTTAGTGGAAGGTTGTGAATCCTGTCGGGGAGCAACTTGTTTTAATCCTTAACATTGAACTCACCCGCTGATTCTATTTATACAGTATTTGAATAAAAATAAAAAATATCTCAACTTTTTAATTATAACCTTATTAATTAAACAACGTCATGAGTTAAGTAAATTTTTTCTCAAGTTAAAGAGTAGAGCTTAAACACTTTTTCTGATCGATCTCTCTTCAATACCTTACAATCAAATCACTTCTCACTTTTGTGAGACACCTTGTAGATAGAATTTAAGTAGTAATTTTTTTTTTCATCTCCCTTATTTAATTTTTTTCTTATATTGATCTCGTTAATTTTACAGTTTTTCTTATTCTCCTTGTCTCTCATGTTTAACATCCTCATTAAAATATGAGTATTTTAGGTAAAAATGATACATGTTTCTACACAATCATGACAAACAATCAATTTAATTAATTTTTGAATAATTAATTTTTGATATCCAAAAATTAATTAATTATGTATTATATTTTTAAATCTGTTCTAAGAACCAAACTGTACCAAACAATTGGATTACTGGCCAAAGAAGTTAACAGTCACGTTTGGATTGACAAAATCATTTTCATAGTTTTGTCAGATTGAATCAGAGTTAAGTCATAATTGAGCTAAAAATTAAAAAACTAAAATGATTTTTAAAAAACTGAAGGAGTCTAAACACACTGTAAAAGGGTAATTTCCAACAAAAACTTGAAAAAGTAAACAAATTAGAAGCCGTTAAAAATCTGCTTCCTTTCTCGACCTTTTAGATATATATAATATGATTTGAGATTATTTTTTGATGAAGGTGTTGATAATTACAATGTAATTGTAGATATTTTTTAGCATACTCACACCTAATTTAACAAAGATTAACCTATATTCAACGAGTTATAAAAAATATAATTTATAATATTAATTGTTAATTTATGATCATATTATGTTATTTTATTAACAGTTAAACATACTATGTATTTATTTCTTATAGATATATGTGTTATGCTTTAAATATTATTTTACTTTATTTTTTATTTAATTTCCATGTGAATAATTTTATGCCAGTTTAACCGATCAAATCAAACAAATTGATAGTGGTTGATATTGTTAGTTTAGCATTTGATCTGGCTTTTAAAACATTAATTATAAATCAGGGTAAGTACGTGACTGGTGAACTGCCATTGTTGGGGGAAAATTGGTGGCAGAGAA